GGGCCGGGACCCCCCCCCGGCGCCGTGGCCGCGGGTGTCAGGCAGCAGCTCCGGCCTTAATTGAGCACACCGCTGAGGGTTTGTCTCTCCCGCCGGGGTGACTGCAGCGATGGAAAAAAATGTGGGGAAGGCCTGGAGGAGTTCTCCGTAATTCCAGTAGCAATTGAATCCTGTTATCACAGCAGAGTTCATGTGGGAAAGAGAGTTACATTCTATCAAACTTTATTTCACTGTGTAGTAAATAGAGGAACGAACTTTATGACGTGACTTGCATGTGCACATCAAACCCCAGAAAGCTTTGGACTCCAGTGCCGCTCTCACAAGACAGCAAACCGTGTTACAGAACCACTGTGATTTAAAATGACATGTGAAATTCCCAACCAGATAGAGCCAGTGAACCCGGTTAGTGAAGGGGAGCTGATAAGACACTTTAACTTCTTCCTGCAAACGACCTCTTTGATTTGGGGGGGTGGGGCTGGGGAGGTGTGCACTGGAATCTGTAAAAATGGTGGGTGAGACCCTGTCCCTTGCACATTCCAGCGGGGCTGGTGTTTTCTCAGGTCTGGTGTGCTCTGAGCCCACTTTAAAGACTGAGTTCTGATCCTTTCAGTTTTTAGGAAGTTGCTGCTTTGCTTGGAGCACGTGTTGCACGTACTCATTGGAACATCTGCATTGGCAGCTGCTGCTGTTTAAAAAGACAGGCAGCCAACTCCAGCCAGAGCGCACAAAGCAGTACAAACATAGAAACAGGAAAAAAAATATGCTTGCTGGGTTGGCATAGCTGCAGAATGCAAACAGAGCTGTCAAATAGGGGCAGTCTGAGTACGGCAGTATAAACAATGATGCATTCATGATTTCTGGTGTGCAAAACCCCTTTCATTTTAGAATGGAGAGATTTCATTAAAATGAGAAACTTGCAGTTTTTATAAGTCTAGATTGAGTCACAGATCTCAGTGATGTTTGAAGGTGAGGGGCTGAACACCTCTGCTGTGGCTCCTGACTTGAAGTGTTGAGGCTGCTCCAGATTTATCGGTGGCTTTGTCTGGGCCTGCAAAGTACTGAAGAAATCTAAAGTGAAAGTCTGGTTTAATTTTTTTTCTTTTTCTTTTTTTTTTTTTTTTTCTCTTTAGTGAATCTGGCAGCTTTGCAAAAGGAAGTTTCCTGAAATCACCATCTTAGGGAGAACTAGTATTTCCTTGGCTTGTTGCCTGTAGCACATCGTTTGAGCATGAGGACTATTCTGTTTGCCTGGTAATTATGAGGGAATTCCTGCTTTGGAGAGAGGGAATAGAAACAAAAGTGCTTTGAACACACTCAAGAATATTCTCAGTGAACAAACAAACAATAATGGTAGTTCTTTGGGAGGATCCTATTATGAAGCATGGAGAATATTAGCTGCAGTGTGGATCTTCTAACGTAAGCATATTTTTTTCTCCTCTAAGATTGCACCTTCTTGTTTTTATTTTGAAAATCTGAATCTTCTGATATCTGTGATTTCTGTTAATTTAAAGAGGTGGTTTACTGACAGAAACCAGCAGTCTTGGACCTCAGAATTTTACACAGCCAATTTTTTCTTACTAAAACTGAACTCTGCAATGAGGGAGGCTTCTGTATTACCCCAATGCTTTTATGATACCCTGTATGTTTCCAGCTCTGTATTCCACAGCCCCAGCGATACATATTGCATTGAGGCCTTGCGTTTCTGTTTTATCTCAATGCACGTGCCACACCGTTGCTCAGCACGCATCCTTTGCTTTTTATGTCTCTGCTAAACTACCCACTGCTGGTCCTTTCTCCCTGACACCTTATCTTCCTGTTGTGCTCTATGGGCCAAGCTCAGGTGTGGCTGAGGACGCAATCCCTCATTCAGTGTTGGCTTCAATAGTATACCACAATGTTGCTTTCCGTCTACTTAATGTCTTACAGAACATTTATACAGCCTCTGTCATTCTGTGAGTTCTTTGCAGACAAGTAAATACTATTGTTCACGCCTTACAAGAGAGAAAAAATGTAATCTCTTAATGATGCTTGCAGTAATGGAAGCAAAGTCGGGTTTAATTATACACAGTGCCTAAGAAAATGGCACTGTCACATCTAGGTATTTGTTTCAGAAGCAATTGTGTGTTGCTCAAGGCCTCACAGGTGGTACGTGCCAGTGGTAGATCCTCATCTGGTGTTCTGCAGGCTCAAAAGGGTTTCCCTACCTCTAAGTCTTATATTCACTGCAGTATAAAAATGATCCTAACTCCAATATTTTTTTTAAAAGTGCAATTTTATAGGACAGGTTGATTTTGCCTGTTCTCAAAGTTAGGCAGAATAAACTAGAAAATGATGCACGGGTAAGTCATCAAGGCTAGAGCACGAAAACCCAGCACAAGGACAAAGAGATAAATGTAAGACTTAAAGATGTGTTTATGGCCAGAGAAATACAGTTAGTATAAGAAAGAAGACCACAGCGGATCTTGTGTTCGCCAAAGAAGTAGATGGGGCCGGATGACAGGTGGAAAGAAGGGACTTAATAAGGGCTTCCAGTTTCCAGAGCTGCGCATAATCCATTTGGTTTGCTTTTTTTTCACACTTAATGACTGTGTCAGCCAGATGCAGCCCAGTACCAACTGAAGCTGGCCAGAAAGTTAGTCCCCCTCTTCCCACACAGGCCCACGTTTGTTTAATGTCTGTTTCTTCCTCTGCAGCCCCGTTCCCGTGTCCCGCGGCTGCGGCCCCCGGCAGCCAGGCTTGCGGGACCCCGCACCCAGGTTGCTGCAGCTCCGGGATCAAACCCCACCAGCTCTGCGTCCCCGCAAAGGCAGGTTCGCGTTCCCTCGCTTTGCACAAGCCTCAGCCCCAGAGCTTCCCGCTTCCCCTCCCAGTCCGGCCCCAGCTGCCTCCCCGCCTCTTGCGGGGGCCGGGGCGGCCCGGGAGGAGGAGCCGCCGCCTCCCCGCTTCCTCCGCCTGTCCCCGCCGGGCGGGCCTGGCGCGTGGCACAGGCTCCGGCAGCCCCG